CTTCTTCTTCTTCTTCTTCTTCTTCTTCCCCTTCTTCTTCTTCTTATTATTATTATTTTTTTTTCTTCTTCTTCTTCTTCTCCTTCTTCTTCTTATTATTATTATTATTATTCTTATTCTTTTTATTATTTTTCCTCTTCTTCTTCATCTTCCCCTTCTTCTTCTTCTTCGCCTTCTTCTTCTTCTTCTTCTTCTTCTTATTCTTATTATGTCTTCTTCTTCCTCTTCTTCATCTTCTTCATCTTCTTCTTCTTCTTCTTCTTCTTCCTCTTCTTCTTTTTTTCTTTTTCTTCTACATCTACTTCTATTTCTTCCTATTTATCTTCTTCTTCTTCTAACTTCTTCTTCTTCTCCTTCTTCTTCTTCTTCTTCTTCTTCTTCTTCTTCTTCTCCTTCTTCAGTGTATCATCCCAACAGGCACTACACACAGTATTTAATTATCACGCATTGCACACTGACATGTATTTGAGGAGGATGTTTTTATCTAAGTAGGCGATTTATGAAGGTGTCTTATGCTAACGAATGCATGTAGTTAGGCGGTGAATTTTTTCTAGGTTTTAAGAGCTAACGTACTGGCTACACTAATAAAAAGCCTTTTTAAAGGGAGGGTTGGAGATTGTAAATATATTTTAGGAGATTATGGGTGTTGGTTAGATGAAAAGTGCACCAAAGTAGAACAGGATATGTAAACGTTCTCAATGTCAAGTTCGAACGTGGTGCAACAACAAACAACAACAAACAACCCACAGAACTCCATTAATTAGCGCCGCCATTACGCATCGCGCATCGGTGGTCTACTAGGAAACCTTGGCCATCGTCAATGAAGTCGCAGCCCCTAGGCGTGTGCTTACGAAAGCAAAACAACATAAAATCAGTAGCCTTTTTGAAAGCGTGCGATAATGACTAACAACAAACACACAAAAGAACAATTGAATGACTGAAAATAACAAACAAATTGACGAACAGGAAAATGCACGTCAAGTATCCTAGTCCAGTTGAGGATGCCGAAACTATTCTTCAAGTGTCTTTGGTAGAAAAACCGCTATAATCCCCCTACACCATCACACTTTCGCGTGATCACCATCTTTTGCAGTTTGAAATTGACACTGGTTCAGCTGTTTCTGTCATCAATGAGGCCTCTTTTCCGAAGATTCCCCATCTCCTTCCGGCACGCTCCACTTTTCTTAGTGACACGGGACAGAGCGTAGCCATTCGAGGCGTCTGTACGGCAGAAATTGAGCGAACTCCATAACATGCCGGTTCAGGTTGTCAGAGGAAGCCTACAACCCAATCTCCTCGGACGGAACTGGAAAAATTGTGTGTCTTCGGTGCTATCCTATGCGCATCAAATTAAGGTTAACCCCGTTCTTGATTTTTTGGTAATTAATCACGAAGGACTATTTCAGGCCGATTCTACTACGCACTACATCGGCCAACCCATTAAATTAAATTTTATGGCTGAATTTTGGCCCCAGTTCTTCAAAGCCCGCTCAGTTGCCCAATGCAGCTGCACCCGGAGACGAAGAAGGGTTACATTGCTTACAGAAAGCTGACAGTATTGAGTCTATACAGTACTCGGAATGGGTAGCTCCAATAGTTTCTGTTAACAAATCCGACGGTATTTGTGGTGATTACAAGCTGACTATCAACTCAGTAAAGAAAGTAAATTCTTATCCTCTTCCACACATGGAGGACCGGTATGCATCCCTTTAAGGGGGTCAAAAATTTACAAATTCGGACTTAAAGCCCGTCTTCAACCAAGCCATCCTCAATGCCGAATCGCGAGACGCAACGACCGTCAATACACACGGGAGTTTATTTCGATACAAATGACTACCCTTTGGAGTAATTTCTGCCCCTGGTTTATTTTAGTGCCTCAAGCATAACCTCGTGAATATACCTTACGTTTTCGCATACTTTGATGATATATGAATCAAAGGCCCGTCCGAAATTAGTCACCCGGATACTCTTAATATAGTGTTAACATGTTCACAAGATGCAGGCTTCAAACTCAGAAGATAGGTGCACTTTCTTTTCTGATTCGGTGGAATACCTCGGTTTTTAGTTGGATAGAACTGGTCTCCATTAAGTTGACTACAAGATCAAAAAGTTAAATACGGCGCCGTGTCCCAACAACATCAGACAATTGCGTTCAATCCGAGGATTGGTTACCCACTTAAGTTGCTTTATAAGTCAATCTGATACACTTCTGAAACTCTGTTTATTGAGTACCTGAAAAAAAATTGTTGCTGGAATTGGTCGGAGGTGGAAAAACGTGCTTTTGAAAAAAAGCGAAGACCGCTCTTACCTCATCTCCTTTCTTGGTTCATTATGACCACGAAAACCCTAATTTAGCAAAATGTGATGCGTTTCCTAACGGTATGGGTTTAGTACTCATGCACCGAATGTCTTCTGTTGTGGATTTACCGATTGTCTTTGCATCAAGGACAGGCGGAAACAGGCGGAAACAAATTATTTGCAACTAGATAAGGAGGCCTTAGTAATAATATTTGGCCTAAATCGCTTGCATTTGTATCTGTTTGGCCGACCCTACGAGATTACCACTGATCACAAACCTGTTTAAGGTGTTTTGTGTGAAAAGCGAGGGACACAAAAAAATGTCCTCGACGAGGATGCAACGATGGCCAATCACACTATACACTTACGCATATACTATGAAATACGTTACGGGCAGTTCAAACGTAGGGGTGGACGCCTTGAGTAGGCTACCTATTGTAGACGACGGCGCTAACAGAGCAACTGCTTTTGAGACCGTGAATCTATTGCAGAACATAGACAGCGCACCGGTAACTTATCAACAGATTAGACAATGGATATCGAGTGATCCCCTATTTAGCCGGGTAAAAAGATGCTTGCAGTCTGGCTGGCCACCCTCCGCCTGTCCTGACTTTCAGACATTCAAACGAACCGAACCTCTAAGACGCAGGCATTGTTTGGAGCAATCGTGTAGAAGTACCACCGCAAGGCAGGCAGGTCATCCTCAAAGAGCTATAGAATGCGCATCCTGGTACGGTTAGAATGAAAGTTCTTGCCTGTAGCTATGTGTTATGAACCAAAATTGACGCATATATTGAAACCATGGTCAGAACATGTCATGTGTGTCAAATAACACAGAAGGATGGTACCTCTAAGGGCCAGACTCGCCTTGAAAATGGGTACACATCGACTATTTTGGACTATTCCAAGCACATATCGTCTTGGTGGTGTCGACGCTCACACTAAATGGAATGAGGTCGTTCTGAAAAGAAACTCCTGCTTCTTAAGTAATAAAATCAACAAATTACGATCTGCTTTTTTTCTACATGCGGAATACCCAAACTGGTTCGCTTCAAACAATGGAATTAAAGAATTCATAGAGGGAAACGGAATGAGGCAGCCGCACGGACACGAATGGTGGAAAATTCGAGAAGTTCAAACTACCAGTAACTCCTCATGTTTACTCCAACGACCGATACTCAAAAGATTTCATGCCTTCTCACAACATAACGCAATCAGTCGAAGTGTATGTTACCTATCACACTACGACCCAATCCAGCACCAGCATATGGACCGAGGAGCCAAGGACTCTAAAAAAACGGTGTCGATGTCAAAATGCCGCCCCGAGAAGGTCGACGTGAATCTGCAAACCAGTACAACGTCTCCAGGAAAAAATAAATCACAACTATTGTTACCGTTAAGGAGGCGAGCAGTTCTTCAGAAGGACTGACGAATGATCAGAGTGTTCCTTTATAATAACTGTTCACCGTCGCCTCAGTTACCTTGCCCAAGGTCTGCACACACGTCCAAAATCACACGCCCCGACCTCCAGTGATCTCCCCGGAGGTCAGCGAACACACCCCTAACTGCACGCGATCGCCGTTTGTCCATCGCGGGCCATTAGTAATAGTAAAATATGCACATCCTTCACTATCGCCTTACACGTGTACTTTCCGTCCGCTCACCGTGGACCATGCCCAAGGTCTACGGACACGCCCCATCTTACACACCCTGCCCTTCAGTGACCTTTGCCCGCGGTCAGCGAAGACACTCCAAATTACACGCGCTCGCCGTTTGTCCAGTGGATGATACTCACAATTTTAAAATATACAACCAGAAGATATGCCTATTGAACAGTAAGAAGTAGTTTTTTTTTTCATAATAAGCAGACATACTTTAGGCCTCACATTTGATTCATGCTAAATTTTTTTATAAACCGAAATATACCCATTATTTAGGCATACAATATTTGCCAGCCAAAAACTACGAGAAATAATAATTTTGTGACTTTTTCGTTAATAACTAATCTTTCTTAATTAATGGCTAGCAGTGGCCCTTTTTTGCACAATATCTGTTTTGCGCGCGGTCGAAAAGAAGCTTGTTAAAAAGCGGTCATCCTGGTGTGAGTGAAATATCTTGAAATTAAGCTGTTCGGTAATCAGCATAAAATGTCTTGCAATGCCATTTTGTGAGTGGTTATCCTTCTTTCGAAAATTTCAGTATTTTGTATGCGCTCGGGCCCAGAATTAAGTGTGGCCAACCATACGAGCGATAGCTAGCTGTTTGCTAATATCCGCTGCCAGTTGTCGTTGGCTTGCATTTTTCTGTGTTTACTTGCTGCTGACAGTGGCATTCTACTTTCATGGTATCTTAGTCTGACGTTTTTGAACCCCTCCTGAAGAATTCACCCCAATACCGAGTAGCAGAAAATGCCGATAAGGGTAACGGACGGCGACATTTATATAACGTCGTAGCTAACCCCGCTCACAACTACCAACTGAAGCAGCACGCCTTTGTACAAGGGATATTTAATTGATAAGTAGTTAATCCATCCAAATCAAAATCACATTTCCTAAATGTGCTTAAGAGCATATAATGCAGCTGCTGCACTTTTACAATCAGTTACTCCATTCATTACTGGTGGTCATATTTGAGGCGCCGATAATTAATGGGTCCGCATTCGAGGTATTATTTAACCAGCCTGTCAT